ACATTACTAAGGTATAAGTTTCTATTCATCCAAGATTATTGACATCTCATACATCGCATTTATTTGTTCTGTTAAACGTAGATTACATAATCTCAGTAGATAATAAATTCATAAAGACTCACGTTCAGTCAACTTCATTGCCCTTCCGCGTGCCTTCACGACAAATCTGCTTCGACATTCACTTGCATCAACCGGAGCAATGTAAGCGGCTCCATTAGTTAAAGCCATCCGATTCTGAAGAATTCGCACGCTGATATGCTCGCGTTCTTTCGTCGTAATCACCCTTTTTGTCCCTCACGCGATAGTGATGTTGTTACGTGGTGAGCGTAGTCAATCAATCGTATTTGTGCCTCAGTGTCAGTTTCAAGGTTAGAAATAATCTCTTTGTAGGTTTACAGTGGTTGCGATCCTGGCTCGTCTTCAGATTTACCACAATCTCGAGAACTTTATTGAAAGAGTCCAAGGCATCATCAAGGAATTTTTGTGTCAGTTGTAAGAGAACGATGATGCTCTGTCAATCCTCATGTTTTAGAGTACTTATTCATTCAACATCTTTACGTACCTTCTGGTATTATATATTTGCCTATGTTTATAGTTTTTAGAGTGCAGATACAGTTCTAATGTTTATATCATTTCTTTCTTTCGAATTTCTCCTTTTGCCAGGTTATATTCTTCTCTACAAACCCAACACTAGTCAAGACCAAACTGGGCCGAATATGGTCATCAAATGCCATGACAGCTTGTTGATATAAAAAGCTAAATGCCATAAGAATTAACAATTAGAATAGTAGTAAAGCTTCGTGCTCTTATAATAAGGGTAATTCCCATTCGTAATCATTATTCTAACTGTTTCCCATTCCCCATACCACGACACCAAACCATATATACCATCGGAGTCTCCGTATCACCACCAATAACGCGACCAAGAGCAGACCATCCATTCCTGTATCACGTCCAATCAAGAGAAAAGAGCAGTGTCATGATTCATAGATAATTACTATTATAATGGTGCGAATGCGAATAAAGCGACCATGACAATGAAAAACGAAAGAAGATTCTTATAAACACGGATTTCTGACATCTCGTGTAACATGTAGAAGTTAACTTAACGTTAATGTTCTGCCCGTTGCGAAATTCAGCCCGATTCAAAATCGGGCTGGCCCAGTTCGAAATAATACTAATACTAATTAGGAAATCGGAGGCGAGAATCCATTACCCATATTAATATCGGGAGTCTAACTACGTGTTCATATTTGCCACGTTTGATAGGAATGTGAATGGTAAATGATATTCAATGGCACGCGTCTAAGGCTGGTGGATGAATCGGGGAGCAATGGGCGGTGCTAAAGTCTTCCCCGTCGAGTGCCAGCAGATATCTCTGTCATCAACATTTCCTTCGTTCAGGTTACAGACACACTTATTGAATGCAATTAATGAGAACTAGTCACATGTGTTCCACTATTGCAGGAAGTAAGATACTTGAATCTGCTAAGAATTATTTATTTCTTCGTAGAACAGGAAAATATTCTAAGCTGTTTTTTGAAGAATATTTTCCTTCCTCACTCATACGTAAGTAAGTTGATTCAACTCACTTATGGTTTTCTTTTCAACGTAATAAACCGCGTTTATTTCTATTTCTGATTTCTATTTCTATTTTATTCTTACAATGTTTGAGTTGCTTTTTTTGAGCTTGCAAACATTATTCTCAACTGTATGCAGAGAATAAAATACTAGTCTTTTTACGTATTTCTTTGGTTAAACGAATACAATTCTGGCACAAACGCAAAATAATTTATTGACCGGTTTTAAATATTATATCAAAGATCTATTGAGAAGTATGAACATTGAAGTCGAGTCATATGAGTGAGTTATTGAGTATTTACATAATTAAGTGTGGCGATCTTCATAATAATAATACATCTGTTGATGTTAAATAGGTATAAACTTATTGATTTGAGTGGGACTTTTGAAGGATATGAGATAATAATTAATTGCATGGTAGTTGTCTTGTATTTGTTTATTGTCAATATTATTTATTTAGAGTGATGAGAGTGTGGAGGTAGAAACGTTAGAGGGGTCGTTATGATTGGTATCTATCCAAAGATAGATTTTCTGTTCCCGTAACAGATAGAGAAAAATTATTCGGGTTCAATATATCATCTTAACGGACGAAAATGACTTGTACTTGGATCTGATTATCGAGTCAAAACGACTCAATAAGAATAAGAATAAGAATATTACTATTACTATTTGTTGTTGTCATTTTTTTAGTATTCTTTTCTTAATGTTGTTATCATCCTTCTTTATAATATTTTTATTGCTAATGAAAATAAACTTCGTTTATTTATTTGTTACATTCTTGAGCGCGAGAAAAATGTTCAGATCACGTGGAAAGTACGGGACATTATAATTAACCAAATCGTAATTTGACCCAATTTCGCAATTGTCCGATATTTATTTCGATGTTATCACATAGTTATATTATAGTGATGTTGTACAGATAAAGTTCATTGGTGGCCAGAGCATCACTTTGTGCTTATTGCGAATTGGGTCAAATTACGATTTGGGCATTCTCCACAGTAACTTGTTTCGACATTTGACGCTGTGAATTATACAGTCTGGCCCACAGCTTTCAATTAGCTCAACTAGCGCTGCAGTGACAAGTTCATATTGTCTTCAAGGTCAATATCAAACTGGCAATCAAAGCTGACTTTCGGAATGTGTTGTCTCATAATTCTGTTAGGAAGAAGGTTCTGAAATCAATGTTGTCGATTTGAAAAATGTGGGACAGGAAATTTATAAACGAAATTGGAAATCGATATAAAGATGGGACAATGAGACTTTTATTTATTGATCTTTTTGCAATTCAAAATACAGGCAGATTCATAGACCAACTATAAAGTGAGAATGCCTATTAGTTTGATTAAGCGGTGTCAAGTATATGAAATCCTGATACTAACGCTATTTTCAATACAGAAACATATTCAAACGTTTGCGCGAAACCAGTAATGGCGTTGAGCAGCTAAAGAAGTAGTAAGCAGAATGATGGTTCTGAACTCAACTTGAAGCAAATGCAATGCCTGTTATGATCGCTAAATTATAACCTCAGATCTGTCTGATCAAAAGTATGTGAGTATCTTCAGACGGTGCTGGTGTCAGCAATGAAGAGACGAAGAGCTAAACCCTACTGGTAACTTGGTGTTTTGGACATTATACATAAAGTCAGTTCTAATAATTATAATTCTTTTTATTGGTTCGGAGCAATACATCATCATGTCTATACAGGTGTGGAAAAGACAATCTTGGGAAAAGAGCTATCAAACAGAAACATTACGAGGATGCTGTTTGGGAAGCATTCAAATTGAATTGGTACTAGGAGTCGGATTGTTTGATTTAAGAGAGACATGCAATGAACAAGATGTACCTGATGCACACCAGCTTAAAGTCGCATTGGAGTTGTCGGTGATTCGACTTCCCACCTGCAG